GAGAGAGAGAGAGAGAGCACGTGTACATAAATTCCAGATGTCACCTACTTTTTTTATTTGAATCTCTTTACCTTCTCTGAACTTTCGGCATACCTTTTCACTTTCTCACCCATCCCTTCTCTTTCTCATACCACCCCTTCTGCCACTCCAACTTCGCCATTTTTCAATTTCTTTACATTCATGCACTCCCTTTCACAACACTTTCTCTGTCACTTTCCTGCCTTCTTTTCCCTCATTATTTCCCTACCTCCCTGTCTCTCTTATTAACTCCCATTTTCATTCTCTCTCAGTCCTCTCCTTAGCTCTCTCCTCCTTCTTCTAAAACTTCTTTAGCTATTTCTGCCAACCAAAAATGTTTTATATTAGAAATACGAGACTGAAGAATTCTACCATTATGGAATTTCGTTTAATATTGTTAACACTAGATATTTACTGCTTTGGGCAATACAGGTATATACTAAGTTTCAGTCTTTCTAGTGTTAAGCTTCTTACAAACGAAGGAAATTCTTCTTCTTCCTGTCAATTTAATGTACCATCGACCAAGCAAGAACAACGAGTTTCAATTGAAGGGAATCATTATAGCACGCTACGCCGAGCAAGAAGAACAGACAAGTACAATAAAAGTCAAACCATTGTCTCGTTTAATGAAACGTAGCTTCGGTAGAAGCGACGAGATCGAAGATCGCTCACGCACTCGGCTCGATCGCGCGAATACGCGTCGGAGGACCAAGAAGTGAACGTCGAAGAATTCCTTTAAGATGTTCTTTCGATGGAATGTCTTTGTCGTGGCGGTTCGACGGGCAACAGAGAAATTTTACCCTTGCCCCGATCGCGTTAATGCGAGTTTCAGCGCACCCGCCCCGGCTGCGACTTGAAACTCGGCCGGGAGTAACTTTCGCAAATTTCCGAACTAACTGATGGAAACCTCATTTCGGCTCGAGTCATCTTCACCGAAGGTGCTCTCCTATGGAACGTTGTCCCGGCAGGTGCCACAACGGGAAAAGTGGAAACAGAATTTCGAAACGGTGGAACGGGAAAAATTGTTAATACAATAGACGGATCGGTCGACTATGTCTCATCCAATGTGTGTGTTCGATCGTACAAATGGGAAATATTCAATTTTCCTCGTAAAGTACATCGATTCTCTCTTCATTCATCGTTCTATCGACTCGGTCACTGTATGACTTCACGATTATGTATTTATTCCGTGTATTTGCTGGGCTATGGACTGACGTAGTAACTGATTCCCTTTGGCAGGCTATGCGCAGATCGANTTAAGACACCCTGTATAGAAATAGTAGATATTTTCTATAATTGCAAGAATCAAAAGAAAAAGGAAATTCCTAGAATATTAAAATTTTTATTAAAATAATCCTGCAATGAATAAACACATACATATAAAAATCCCAAGACAAATATTAAATCAAGAAAACTACATTTTTGGATTTTGAAGAAAAATGTATAAAAGGAACGATGCCACGAGTAGAAGCACAAACTTCCTTTCGTTTGTTCCGTGTTCATTAAATCATCGGCCGGGTCAATATTTCCATCGATCCGAACTTTCAGTTCATTGAATCCAGTCTGGGCGCGAGATCCGAGACGCGAGTTTATCGGAAAGTCGTTAAAATCAGGCAGCACGTAGTCGCGCGGAGGTTCGCATTAATTTTTTACCTGTGTCGTCGTCATTTATTGTGTAATAGTCGACGTGCCATGCAGCCGCGTAGTATTATATGTATATTCGAATGAAACGCTCGCAGACTTCGACCAGTTATTCGTACTCGACTCTCATCCGCCATTGAGACCTGCTCGCTCATTCCAATTCGAATACTATTTTTCTGTCGTGGAAAAACGATGCCAGGGTTCGTATCTACTGGAAACGTGAACGATCATCGAACCGGATTCGTAGGACAATAATAAAAGTAATATTTAA